CCCTCCCCCCCACCTTCCCTCACCTCCTCTGCTCCTCTCTTTTTCCTTCCATCCTGTGAATGGAAACAGACGCGGCTGTGGAAGAACTGCTGTTTTGGAAAAGACAACCGTACCAGTGTGTGTGTGTGTGTGTGTGTGTGTGTGTGTGTAGTAAGAATGTGTGTGTGCCAGGACACTTAGAACGGAACATAACATTTTTCTGTAGACTGGACCAACGCTGGGTCACGTCATGAGAGGAATGGACTCACAGACAATGTTTGTTTGGTTCTGTGAGCGCCCCCTATACTGAGACCAGCCAGAAACGTCTACTCCAACTAACATCTACCTTAACCTGGCTGTTGGCACCAGGAAACGGATTCATGTTGCACCTCTCCGCACCTCTCCTACACCAAACCTCATTGAGAAAATCAGAGATTTTAGTTCCGACCAAAGTCCATGGAAAAAATCAGAGATTTTAGTTCAGACCAAACCTCATGGAGAAAATCAGTGATTTTAGTTCAGACCAAAGTCCATGGAGAAAATCTGTGATTTTAGTTCAGACCAAACCTCATGGAGAAAATCAGAGAATTTAGTTCAGACCAAAGTCCATGGAGAAAATCAGAGATTTTAGTTCAGACCAAACCTCATGGAGAAAATCAGAGATTTTAGTTCAGACCAAAGTCCATGGAGAAAATCTGTGATTTTAGTTCAGACCAAACCTCATGGAGAAAATCAGAGAATTTAGTTCAGACCAAAGTCCATGGAGAAAATCTGTGATTTTAGTTCAGACCAAACCTCATGGAGAAAATCTGTGATTTTAGTTCAGACCAAACCTCATGGAGAAAATCAGAGAATTTAGTTCAGACCAAAGTCCATGGAGAAAATCAGTGATTTTAGTTCAGACCAAAGTCCATAGAGAAAATCAGAGATTTTAGTTCAGACCAAAGTCCATAGAGAAAATCAGAGATTTTAGTTCAGACCAAACCTCATGGAGAAAATCTAAAAATCAAAAGTTTGAACAGCAACACTGCATCCTTGAGTTGCCGAGGTTTCTATAACAGCAGCAGCAGCAGCTGCGTAACCTCGGCTCGACAAAAACTTTTAGTCACACACCCACACACACACACACACACACTCCTGTCTCGGCAGAGCTGTCTGTACTGCCACCTCTCCCACGCACACTCACTATTCAGTTTTTTTTTCAGAGAAATATGGAGTCGCAGTAATTGACTTCCTACCTGCTGTAAATCACATCTATGAGCTGTCAGCAGTGTGTGTGTGTGTGTCAGGTTTGATGTCAGCTCTTCCTGTCTCTGTGTTCTTCACACTTCTCTGATCGACAGCTCAGCTCACTCTCACCCCACACCAGAGTCCATACAAAAAATGAGTGTTTTAAGAGCGGCAGCTCTGACTACATGAGACCAGGACTGTAGTCTGTAGACTGTAGTCTGTAGTCTGTAGTCTGTAGTCTGTAGTCTGTAGACTGTAGTCTGTAGACTTTAGTCTGTAGACTGTAGTCTGTAGTCTGTAGACTGTAGTCTGTAGACTGTAGGCTGTAGACTGCTGCTGTCAGAGCCTACATGAGATCAGGACTGTAGTCTGTAGTCTGTAGTCTGTAGACTGTAGTCTGTAGACTTTAGTCTGTAGACTGTAGTCTGTAGACTTTAGTCTGTAGACTGTAGTCTGTAGACTTTAGTCTGTAGACTGTAGTCTGTAGACTTTAGTCTGTAGACTGTAGTCTGTAGTCTGTAGACTGTAGTCTGTAGACTTTAGTCTGTAGACTGCTGCTGTCTGAGACTACATGAGAGCAGAACTGTAGTCTGTAGACTGTAGGCTGTAGGCTGTAGACTGTAGGCTGTAGACTGCTGCTGTCAGAGCCTACATGAGATCAGGACTGTAGTCTGTAGACTGCTGCTGTCTGAGACTACATGAGAGCAGAACTGTAGTCTGTAGACTGTAGTCTGTAGACTTTAGTCTGTAGACTGTAGTCTGTAGACTTTAGTCTGTAGACTGTAGTCTGTAGACTTTAGTCTGTAGACTGTAGTCTGTAGACTTTAGTCTGTAGACTGTAGTCTGTAGACTTTAGTCTGTAGACTGTAGTCTGTAGACTTTAGTCTGTAGACTGTAGTCTGTAGTCTACAGTCCTGTCATGTGACCCACATCCTAATGTACCAGGTGACGGACGAACACCACGTGGTTCATTTGTCTCCCCTCACCCACAGCTGCTCTCTCTCTCTCCCTCTCTCTCCCTCGCCATTCAGGGTAAAAATAACGAGAGTGGACTGTGAGAGGCAGCAGAGGGCGCTCTGGTTTTTTTCACCCACCGCAGCAGAAAATAGACCAGAATTCAATGCAGCGGCAACTCCAGGTGACTGGAGGAGCCTCAACGCTCTCACCGTGCATCGGCCGACGCCGACGACCCCGAGGAGCCGCAGCCCTGGGGCTGTTCTCTCAAAGGCTCCGTGGGAAAAGCAGGGGGACGGGGGACGGGGACGGGGGACGGGGGGGTTCTACACCTGAAGTTAGAAAAAGACCACTGTTAGATCCAGACCCAGTCAGAGAGCAGGGTCACGATGCGTCCTCCTGTCGTACACTCACCTGCCCCGGTGACCTTTGACCTCCTCTGGTCCCAGCTCACTGTCGGTCAGACACAAAACTCTGACCCGTGAAAATCCTTCGTTGAAATCTCGGTCCCCGAACGTGTCCGTTGACAGAGAAACAAACCTGTGGGCGTGGCCCTCCGTTGGAGCGCTGCCTCAGAGGAAGCGGTCGGCTCTGCTGGTGTCGGTGCCTCTGCTGGTTCCTGGTTCACACGCTGTTCTTGGTTTCAGACAAATAGAAAGGACGCCTCCTGTCTGAAAAAAGAAAAATGACAGGTTTTCCCGTCAGGACCTTCAAACCTTCACTGTTTTTTTCAGACTGGAGGGGGCGCTGTTGTTGGTCCTAAAGCTTCTTGTTCTGGTGTTTTATTCTCTGGTCCTTCAGACCTGGGTCAGAGGAAAGGACACGTACTGACGCAGTACAGACATGTGACGGAGTACTTTAATCCACAGAGCAGTAGTCAAGTACTCCGTACCAGAGTACTCCGTACCAGAGTACTCCGTAAGTACTCCGTATCCGTACCAGAGTACTCCGTACCAGAGTACTCCGTACCAGAGTACTCCGTACCAGAGTACTCCTGAAACCAGCGACGTTACTGCTGACCTGGTGAGTCAAAGATCAGACCAAACCAGTCGATCAGTCTGCTCCGATCAACGGCACACACACACAGCTGGTACTGTTTTAATGGACAAACACCAACACAGGCAACTGCCCCCCCCCCCCCCCCCCCCCCTG